ATATATATTTCACTTTAACTTATTTGTTTTAGATCTTTAACAACGGCAATGAATTATTCGGAATCAGATACGATGGTATCAGTTCTTGATTTCAAACGTGAAGCAGGCTTGTGGCATTCCATTTTAGCGGTACTGTTTAATTTTTAAATCGCTTAATTTCTTTATGCCTTTGAATTTTTTTTTGCACTTTTATTTTTCTTTTGCTCATTTATTAGTTAAATTGACGGTTGCTTATTTAAAATAAATTATATTTTAATCTATTACATATAATTATTGATTTTAGAGTGTATTTTCTGGTTTACGTGTTATTTTTATTCCATATTCATTGATGAAAATTAATCCGGCATCGTGGATGTTGATGGTTACAAAGTATCAAGGTAAAAGAAAAATACTCATTTATGAGGAGAAAAGCAAAAAAATTATTTTATATGCAATAAATTTTCCGAATTCATATTTCATTTTATTAGAAATTAATTGTTAGAAAAAAAACTCTAATTAAGTTTACTTTTGTACTATACTTTTGTAAGAAAATGTCATTTTACTTTGCTTCAGCAAAAACAGCTTTGGTGAAATCACGTGATTTACATTGGGGTTTACTAGCAACTCGTGATCATAAGGAAATCAATTTGTCGTCACTTCGTTCAATTCTGGTAGCTGATGGAGCAAATCCATGGTCTTTATCATCTTGTGATCAATTTACTTCCATTTTTCAATCACGTGGCTTAAAACCCGATGCGGTTTGCCCATGTGCAGGTTCTTCTGAAACTGGTACAATATCGTTGCGCAGGTTCAATTTGTTCTTTTTTTATTTTTACATCGTTTGTACTAATCCGTTGTAAATATGATAATGAGTATAATTTAAAAAATAAGATAAATACTGCATAATACAACTTGTCACGCTATTAGTCGTCAGCTTTGCGGCATCCTGCTCTTAAGTTATTCTTTATTATCTGTTATGTGTTAGCCATTTCATTTGAACAAATTTCATATATTTGTCTATGTGTTTTATAAAAATAACATTTTATGTTTCTGTTATAGGCCTTGCACTGATAAAAGTCTGCATAACTCTGGTCGTGGTGTCCTGTCGATGTTTGCTTTGAGCCATTCAGTAGTCCGTGTGGATCAGGAGAATTCATTAACATCCTTAACTCTACAGGTAAAAACAAGTCAACCCATTTGGATACCATTTCTTAAGCTCTTCTTCCTGAAATAGTTATTAAAGTAATTGAATTTAATTGTAATTGAATTTAATTATAGGATGCTGGTCAGGTTATCACTGGTGGTGTTGTTGTTGTTGTTAAACTTTCTGGACCACCACGACTCTGTATGGCTGATGAAGTTGGTGAAATTTGTTTGTATGCACATAGCACAGGTTCTGCTTATTGGGGTTTGGATGGTTTATCAGCCAGTACTTTCAAGGTTCATAAAATTTGCAGCTTTTCTTTCTTAGTTTATGATGTGGTGAATATGCATTGAGTTGATTTTCATTTTTTAGTTACTTTAAACGAAAATTTAAAATAAAATGCTAAATTCTACTTTTCTGACATATTTTTTACTTTGTTTTGTATTAGTTCTCATACTGAACTCAAGATTAATTTTATAAAGTTGAAATTTTTGAGTTAAAAAATCCCCATTCATTACAGGTAGAACCATTAGGCAATGATGACAAGCCATTGGGACCACTGCCATATGTTCGCAGCGGTTTGCTAGGATTTCTTGGACCGGTAATCTATTTCTTCTAAATTTGATCAGTGGTCGTGCAAAAAAATCTCAGTGGTATTAAACTTTCGTTGAAATTTCAGAATGGTTTAATTTTTGTGGTAGGTAATCGTAATTCGCAAATGTATGTATCGGGTCGACAACATTGTGCTGATGATCTGATTGCTACAGCACTGGCTGTTGAACCAATGAAATTTATTTATCGAGGTTTGTTGTTTGGGATCATTATCACTTTTTGATAGGAATTAAAAGTTAGGTTTTTTTACACTTTAAAAATTCTCATCGTGTTAAGATTATGAAAAAAGCCTATTTATATTTGATCGAACAAGAATAGTTACCTTTTATATGTATGAACATGAATATCAAAAAAGAATATTTGATCAAAAACAATTCCTTTCAGGGCGGATTGCTGTATTTTCTGTAAATGTTCTGCGCGATGAACGGATATGCATCGTAGCTGAGCAGAAACCTGGCGTATCTGAGGAAGATTCCTTCAGTGTAATACTTTTGGAATTTTAACATACACAATACTTTATTAATGTTACTTGGAAAATAAAACGAGCTATCGGCATTTGCTTGTGTTTCAAGTCGAATTTTTGATGATATTATAAGTCATCCGAAATCCAGTTTCAGTGGATGAGTCGCGTACTACAAGCAATTGATAGCATTCATCAAGTGGGAATTTACTGTTTGGCTCTTGTGCCATCTAATCAGTTACCAAAGGTAAATCTCTAAAAAAGAGATCTTTAGAACAAAAAAAAAAGAGGTCTTTAAAACAAGATTTTTTTTGTAAATCCAAAAGATTCGACGATTTTGAAATACTTTTATACAGTTGATGATTTAATATGTAAGTAAGTCTTTCATTATTCTCGAATTAAAACAGGACCTGCCATTTCTTCAGTATATTTCATTTTTTTTTCATTTTATTATGAGCTATTCTTTTTTAAGCGGTGGAATTAGTTTTAAAATCTTACTAATATTGCAACTGATGAAACATCCAGGAATAACTTCATCAGATTTTCTTAAAGAATGGAATTTCTAATGACAATTATAGAAAAATCTCAAAGTATTCCAGACACCATTGGGTGGTATCCACGTATCGGAAACACGACAGCGATTCATTGATGGTGTCTTGCATCCGACAACACTTTTGATGTGTCCGCATACTTGCGTAATAAATTTGCCAAAACCCCGAGAACAACAGTTGGATGTTGGACCAGCAGCTATGTTTGTCGGTAACATCGTTCAAGGTATACGAATTGCTGCTGCCAAGGGAAGACAGATTAATGCAGATGATGAAAAGGTTAATTAATGTACTTAATCTATTTGCGTCAATTTCAAAGTTTTATTATTTAGGGATGGCTGTAATAATATGTTACATTATTATTTGTTAGGATGGCCCAAATAATAAACTTGTTGCAGGTGACTAGTTTGATAGAAGTCTTACGTCAACGTTCACAAACATCTCCTGATCACATACTATTCACGCTAATGAATTCACGTGGAACGGAGATAGAAAGTATAACCTGTGCACAATTGCTGAAAAGGGCGGAACGAATCGGTTCAATGCTAACCGATAAAGGAAGATTAAATCCAGGCGAACACGTTGCTTTGATTTTTCCACCTGGTATTGATTTAATTGCAGCTTTTTATGGATGTCAAGCAGCAGGTGCGTTGACATTGATAATTTGCATCGAATTTACCTAATTTAAATGTAGAATTTAACTTGATGAGAGTATCGAATTCGGCTGTTATTATTACCACATGCAAAATATTTAGCAGCGACTCAGTACTTATCAGGATCAAACTGCGGACTTCGATTAATTTCAACTAAATTTTGAAAAACAATCGATATTGAAATACAAGATATGGTTTGAAATATTATGACAGTCGGCATTATGAGTTTTTTTAGAACCTTCCATAATGGTGTGACTAGTATGTAGTGACATCACTTCTGGAATACAATCTTTATTAACGAATCGAATGGTTCTAGTAATGCTGATAAATTATTGAAGGTTTCGTTAGCTAATATCAGGATAAATTTCAAATGTGAAATTTAGCTGATATTATTCCTTATTAAATTAAAAGATTTATATTAAAGGACTGGTACCGGTTTGTGTACGACCACCACATCCACATAATTTGCAAATAACCTTGCCGACGGTGCGAATGATTATAGATGTTTCAAAAGCAGTTGCAGTAATTTCAAATTCATCTTTAATTAAGTTACTCAAATGCAAAGAAGCTTCGCTGAGGGTTGATGCAAAGGTAAGTTTTCTTTTGATATTTATTTATCTGATTTTACAGGGGAACGTTACGTTGCAGTTCTAGATCAAACAAATGTGGAAAAAAATAAATCAAATAATTAGAAGAATGATGCGGAGGATATTTCAGGCGTGGCCTACGATTTTTGATGTAGATGATCTTTCGTCACTGAGCAAGAAAAAATGGGAATCTGAGTGTTTTGAAAGAAAATCAGCGGATGCATGTTATCTGGTAAGAAAATATTATTATTAAAGTAATTTATATTATTGATATTTCATAATATTTATTGATGTATTCCAGGTTTTTTAAATGGAATAAATGAAACTGTTGCTTTTGCTTGCTGGATATGATAGTTTTTTAAAAAATTTCAGGATTTTTCAGTAAGTACTACAGGACAGCTGGCGGGAATCGTTATTAGTATTGCTGGTGCTACAGCGTTATGTAGAAGTTTAAAAGTAGCCTGTGAATTGTATCCCTCACGACATATCACTTTGTGCCTTGATCCATATTGCGGTCTTGGATTAACACTTTGGTGTCTGTCTGGGTATGACCATTCATTTTGTTATATAGATAGATGTAGATAGATGAAACAGACGAAAAGAGACGATATGTCGTCTCATTTTGCTTTATCTATCTATGTGTTGAAATTTTTTTCTTAATGATGCAACAATTGGATATTTCTTCTACCAATATTTATTGCAAATTTCATCACGAGAATTGTATTTGCCTGTAATATTCACCTAATGATTACACTTAAAAAATGACACTAATGTATAACTTTGATTTCAGTGTCTATTCCGGTCATCATTCATTGTTGATTCCACCAGCAGAAGTTGAACAAAATGCCGCTTTATGGTTGACAGCAGTTTCACAACGAAAAGGTTTCTAGTTTTTTTTT